TTATATTTTCACCCTCAAAATAACTTCCTTTTGATACCACACAGCGCTGGAGACGTTTGTTCCACTCCTCATAGCAGTGCTGGAACTCCGAGGTTCACCGACTTGAAGAGAAAAGGTCAAGTCAAGCGTATAAGGAAGCTGAGGAGCCGTAATGTTTTTACCCGCCAAAAACTCGTTTATTGACATTTCTCTGTGACAAACAGCATTATCATGATGCAACACCCAGTTGTTCTTGATCTGATGAACGGTGGTATGAGTCAAATTTAACTCTTTCAGGCTGTCATCCGATCTGAACGCACAAGATCCCGGATTCTGTCGATATCTTCATCATTCGACTCCCTTCCTTCTGAAAATGTCTTAAACCACCGAAAAACCTGGGCTCTTGACAAAACACTATATCCGTACGCCTGCTGAAGTTTAGCAAGAGTTTCCATTGCACTGTGCCCCCGACTGAAGCAAAATCTGCTAGTACACCATTGCTCATTTTTAGAACACAATAGGAAAAACAGCGCGGGCAACTCGAGCGAGTTCAAACTTGCACTGAAGGCGGATCAGATGTTCCGTTGTTTCCTCTCCAAGCCACTGTTGCCAGATAGAACTCTATGTTGCCTGTATCAACACTTAATTTACAGACCTCGTATATAATTTTCTAGGACGATGCAGTTTAAACGTAAATTCGTACATGGAAATATGCCTCATTTAAATTCTTTGTATTTTCAGCCGGAGGAATCAGCCAATAAAGAATATGATTTTGGCAACATTAGAGTTGACAAAGTACAAATAAATGGTACGTTCGAAAAATATCCCATTCTCCTAGTTCGAATTTCTTTGCTATTTTCATAGGTATTTGAGAGTGGTAAAGAGGTGATGACAATGAAACCAAAATGTAACGTCCAGAAAACATGCTTTTATAGGAAAATTATTTGTACTTATTTTATAGCGAAACTATATATTATAATACATATATGTATACACTTGCATAGAAATTAAAATTACACAAATAATTACATTTAAAATATCTTCACGTCCAAGGCTTTCGATGCTTCAGAAATCTTAAAAACTCATCATCATCGTTGTTGTCCTCATTAAAATCAGCATCATCATCAAAGTCATCTAAAAAAACATAAATAATATTTATAAAAATCCGAGTAGACTGGTTTCTAAAGGCGGACGCACATCACTGTTACATCAAATAGTTCACCTACTGTTACGCAAGCTCACATAAAGGGACTATTTGAATTTAATAAATTGAATAATGATATTACACAGTGTTTCAATTTGAAAATGTTTACGGTGAAATTAAAAAATCACTTTACGAAAACTCAAAATACATAGTGATGTGATTTTAATAGACAATAATGTAAAATTACAGAAAATAAATCTCCAACAAACAAAAACAAAGAAACGTAAGTACCGGGACGCGGTGAAGGAAAAAGTTTACTTAAAGAAAATCGTACATTTAGCTGAGTTACGGGACGTAATAACGGACACAGCTGAATTTGTTAATAATGGAAGAACCGTCTGATATCCCAATCCTTTTTAATATGTCAAGCTTGCATTACATTTATTGTGAATGTAATAAATACATTCTTGAATTAATAAAAGTGACATTACTATCTGTGTTGCTATCAGTACGCAGAACGGTACTGTCCGTCAATCCATCTAAGAAAAAATTGAAATTTGTAGTAATGGGAACTAAAAGATCATAACAGGGTGTACATTTTTCCGATTTTTTCATAAAGTCCATAATTTGGAAAGTATACGTTGTACTTTTTTAATGTTTTTCTCATAACTATTATAACTTGGCCTATTCCCCGTTTCCGGTTTGACGCTGACCTCTGGGACACCCTGTATACTTTTTACATATATATATATACAGTAATGGACAAAAGTATATAGATAAATTAATTTGTGCTGTATTTCTTTTTTAACTTGTTTTATTAATACACCAACCTGTATACGTAATTAGTTATAGCATAGTACTCACTAATACATAAATAAATTCATTAGACTCCCTTCAATAAAAAATTAACTGAAAAAAACTGAAACTATGAAGGACAAAAATATATAGACAAAGCAAAACAATTATAGAAAAAAGAAGCAAAGTTCATTGAATTATAGAAAACAAACCATGTTTGTGTTCATATTTTGTAGCATAACCATTATTATCAATCACCGTCTGGCATCGTCTCGTCATAGATTGTAGAAGTTGCTTGATATAAGATTCATCAATCTGTCTCCACTTTTGCTCTAAAGCGGCAAAAAGTTCATTATTGTTTGAATAATTTTTATCTCGCATTTGCTTATCTAAGTATTCCCATTGATTTTCAATGGGGTTTATATCGCGAGACTGTGAAGGCCATTTGAGAACTAATATTTTTCATCCAGAAAGAATTTCTTTGCGAGATTTGAAGTGTGCTTCGGGTCATTATCTTGCTGGAAGATTGATCTTAAGGGCATATTGTCTTCCATATAGGGTAACATGACATGCTTTAGTATGTATGTGTATACAAACTTATCATAACATATTGAACTTGGATTCGTCACTGAAACATACCCTCTTCCAGTCACAGATGCTCCAATCAAGATGCAACCGTGCAAATTGTAATCGGTCCGTACGGTTTTTCCTCGAGATTAGCGGCTTCTTACTTGGGCGACGTGTAAATAACTTCAAATCATTTAATCTTCTACTTATAGTTTTCGTAGACACACTGACAATTCCTTTTGTCTCGATTTCGGCCTTTATTTGTCTTGAGGTTTTAAACGGATCTTTGGACGAATTTACTTTTCAAATTAATATAATTGATCTAGCATTTAGTTTTCTAGGCCGACTACTTCTCGTAGAGGCTTCCAAGATACCTTTTTGTTTATATTTGTTCAATATTGCCCAAACTGCTTTACGCTTCAGTTTCAAATTTTTGGCAATGTCGACTTGACGTTGACCATCTTTGTATAACTCAATGATCTTAGTTTTTACATCGAAAGAAATTTCTGGACCACGCGGCATGGTCTTAAAATCACTCAACTTATGCCACAATACTTGATGAACACAAACTAATCCTCTTCGGACACGAAACTATAATAAACTAATGTTGAAAAGAATTTGTCTACATATTTTTGTCCCTCATAAAAAGTGCTTATATTCAGACTTGTATTGTGTTCACTGCAGATAATGTAAAAACAAGGAATTTAGTTTTTCTACTAATAACGCATTTGTTTATGGAGCAATGAAGTATGAATTCGTTTTCTAAAGGTATTAAGTAAATATTCATATTTGTCAATATACGTTTGTCCATTACTGTATATATACAGGGTGACTTCGAAGTTGAGTCATTTATTTTAACAGTGAGTAGATCTGATCAAAAGAAATGTTTTTTCCTTTAACATTTTTGTGGTAAAATTAAAGTAACAAAGTTATAGCCCTTTAGAAGTTTGAGTAACCGCCCTGTCTCAATAACAATATTATGTGCTCGTGTTTGGCAACAACGGATATAATCCGCCTTATCGGTTCATCGCAATCGGAAACAAAAAAGCGAAAGAATTTGAAACGATGTTTTTTACTACAATTGTATTCAGTTGTATTCAGTCAATGTGTAAGTCGGTAACGCGTGAGTGAATAGTGGTGTTTGTTTGTTGCGTGGCTCAAACGAAATAAAAATGGCACATGTTTACGAAAATGCTGAACTTGTGGACATGATTCGTATCTTTACAAAATGCTGCCGCGGATCGGTTTCCCAATCGAGTGCAACCAACCCCTCGTGCCTTTGTTAATGGCTCGTGAATCAGGTGACTTAAGACCTCACAGGGGAGGGCATGCCGGTGCTCCAAGACCGCACGATCAAATACAGGTCCGCACTAAAATACTTGTCGGGGAGGATACTTTATAAAACCAGGTAACATTTAATTTTACACACATATTTTGGTTTATCTTCCTTCTACAATCATTATCTGAAAATTAATGACTCAACTTCAAAGTCACCCTGTATATATATATATACCTAACTGGTCTAGACGACAATGACCACGTCTCAAGTTATATATATATATATATATATATATATATAATTACGGACGATATAGTGTTACCTGCCGCCCTTGTTTCTCTCTTGATGTTGTCCAGTATGTCAAGGTCCACATCAAAACTGGAATCATCATTCATTTGCTTATTTGCTTCATTTTCGGAGACACTGACTACCATCCCATTATCAGGTTTCAACACTGTGTTCGAACATTCAGTACTACCTTTTTGAGAACTATGAACCATGCCTGGCAAGTTTTCTTCTCTAGAAGCAGGTCGCAAGTTTTCTTCTTCTGAGGGCTGTAATAAAAAAATTTACGAAAATATAGATGGTGTGCTATTCAAAACATGTTTGTGTCAAAAAATAGTTATGAATAATACTAAGGAGATTAGTAAAACAATTTATTACATCATACTGTTCCGATGCATTTAAACAACAAAAATTAAAATTATAGATAAAATTAACTTTCAGTCAACTGATGATTTTAGCGTTTTCACTTTTTTGTATTTTGTTGAATAGCAAAAATTTCAGAAATTTTGAGGCCCCTGAGTTTTGAATACCCCCTTGAACAACTTGCAACAATAAAATCAGACTTTGCAATTGTTTTGCAAACCAGAGGTATTTTCGTCTAATATGATTGGAGTAATGAGAAATATGAGTATATACAAGTAGTTTTAAAGAACCATTTAAATTCAACGTTTATGTTAAAAATAAGGTAAATAAACTTTATAAGTATAACACTTTAAGTTTACTTTTAATCCGCGTGTGTTTAAAAGGTTTCACAGAACTTTTGAAAACAGCTGCGCAAGATAATAAAGTATTATGAAGGTTTTATTTTTGGTTTTATTGTCACAATCTTAAAGTTCATTTGAAAACCAATTGGTTTTAATTTTAGTTTCATTTTATACTTCTCTCTCAGATTGTCAATTCTTGGTGTGTAAAGCTGGAAAATTAATGATATTTAATAACCAGACAACTTACCTGGTCAATGATGACAGTTTGCATGCGCATTTCCGTAGATATATTCCTATCCACTGTATAGGAGCTTCCAAGCATATCACCAACATCATCATTTTCATTTCCTTGCTCCACCTCTGGAGCAATATTAATATTTTTGTCGATTTGCCTCAACGTTGAAGTATATCTCTTAGAAGTGAGATCTGGTATTTGTTCTTCGATATCCCTTTGTATCTCTCCACAAACTTCCCGACTACTTTCACTTTCTGAAGGACGTTTTATCATCAGTAGTAGCACTAGGTGTTTCTAAAAGTGCCTGGCGATCATTCTTGTCGGGAAACCTTATCTTACTTTCACTGCTTTCATTTTGTGACTGTACTTGACTCAACCTTCCATTTTCTTGTTGATACTCCTTCACAGATTCATTCTTTCCAGTTTCACTTTCCACTGAATCACTCTGTTCTTGTTTTACTTCCACTGTTATGTTTTTCCGCCTTCGTGTCAACATGAGTTGACGATAAGTAGATCTTGCCGCTATATCATTTCCACATATTTCAGTTTTAACTTCTGCCTTTACTGTTACGGTGTTATTTAAATCTGAAACAGTAGCTTCACTATTTCTTGATGTATCTTCACTGTCGCTCAGCTCCGCCAGAGGCAGTGTAGCAGATGGTTGTTGTTGACTGAAATAAAAACTCATTCATTCAACATTTCAAAATTGATATAGCTGTCAAATTTCAATATTGGTTAAGATATCATATTCGATTTCAGAAGAAATGAGTCAAGAATGACAGATTGATGTCATATTTGAAAATAAGCAATTTCCTTTAAAAAGAATTGGAAATTTTATGTAAACATCCATAAGGTTGAGAATCTTGGAGACTATTTTAACCAATGATTTCAATCAACTTACCTGTTACTATTTCTATGTACTTCCGCACCCACTTCAGTATCTCCTTCTTTTTTGGTTTCTATTATTGGCCTAGGCAAATCATCCATGTCAAGAGGTCCTGACAAGAGACGAGTTTGGATGTGTTGCATTGGGGGCTGGAAATCCCTTTCTAATTCTTCCAAAGACGGTTTAACATCCAGTGAAACATCATCACAGTCATCATCCTCGTCCAGATAACACCTTTCTGAAAATTCAACAAATAATATTTAGCTGATTTAGTATACCCGATCTGAATAATTCTTTAACTTTTTTATATGACTTTCCAGAAGAAAAAGTTGCAAATAAGTCTAATATAAAGTTTTTCACGTAATATTTTTTTGTATACCGGGTATCTGAGAGAAGTGCTATCGAATAAAGTTATATTTTTTAATTGAACACCTGTATACTTTCAGTAAAAATGATAGTCCCTTTTTTCTAATTCCAGATATATAATATGGTCTGTTAAATTTATTTTTATTACTTTTGTTGAAAGGTTGTGTGTGTCACTTAATCATATAGAGGGTGACGGGAAAATAGCTGCCCAGCCGGTGGGGAGAGATAGTACAAGCCAATCTGAGTCGATTTTACTAGAGGAACTACTGTCCGAAAATTAGCCGTTTTCGAATTATACTAATTTTTAAGATTTTATAAAATTAACGTCCTTTATACGTTAACCAAGTCATAAAACTTGAAAATTGGGTGTTTCATTTGAATTTTTTTTGTTTTACCATACAAATATTCTAAAATACGAAAACTGATACGCAAATGTACATTATTGACGTTATCTCATGCAGTAAGCTTCAAAATAGTTCGATTTTTGTTAAAAAAATCTTCGTTCATCTCAAAACCTTCAGTTTACTAGAAAAAGTCGCATACAAATTTTTCGTACAAAATACTTAGAA